CAGATTACCTGATAATTCTCTCAATTCAAATCGCTTAAAATCGTCTCATAGTAATTAATTACTAAAATAAATGTATACGAAGTACCTCTGTGTTATACACAATGACTACTCAGCTATATGGGAAATAAATATTTACAGCAGTTTACCAATTTATCAAAAAGAAATATCATTGATTGACCGAATCATAAGCTTCAAAAGCTATATTTTATTTCTGAATTACTTTTAAGATTTTTATCAAATAAAAATAATGATTTTTTTTTTTTCCACTGAAAATAGAATGATGTTCAACTTTTTTACCAAACCAAATTTTGAGCTATAGATTTCTAATTACACAGGTTTTAAACTTATATTTTTTTAGTGGTGTAGTACAGCAAAATTCAACAACTCTTATCTAAAATAAAAACTTGTACAATATTAAAACAAAAAGTAAAATCTTAAATGAGTTCAAAGATAAAATTTTGTATTTAAAACAATATAAAAACATTTGTTTTTACAAATACACAATAGCTAACCGTGGTAATGAGTGTTAAATATAATTCATAAGATATTTATATGGAAGCGTAAATTACGGTAGAATTACCGGTCACCGGTCTACTGCGGGTCTTTTGCCTTCTACACCCACATGATTAGCGTGGTAACCCATTAGGCATATTAGGCCAGTGGGATCCCACACCTCTTATGAGTATCATAAAAATATTAAAATTGTGAGAATTGTATGTTAAATGGCCGTAGTTTTTCGGTTAGAACGCAAACAATTATTTAATTATTAGTTATTTTTAGTTCAGTGGGACACCTCTATCATTCCACAATACGGTGACTTCAAAACAAACCCATATAGTTCATTAAAAATGTAAAACAGAATAATTACATTTCTCGAAGAATGCTTAATAACATATTAAAAGTTGTATGTACTAATAGGAATGAAAAAGGAAAATATCGTTATTTGTGACAAATATCCTTAAAGATTGTGAAATGCACGCGGAACCTAATAAACACGGTTCTTCAAATTTTAACTAGAACAAAGTAGATACGATTCATTATTATTAAAATAGTGCTCTCGTTTCGTAAATGCATCACAATCAAAATATACTAGATAAATACTACGATGACAATAATGATATGATATTCGTATTAATCTATTACTATATACGTACAATAATAGTTTATACACTTTATAGCATTGAAAAAACATTTTACAGTGTTTTCGTACCAATATAGAAGTGGCGTACATAAGAAGGGATATGATGGTCATCTACCATAGTTTTTTTTATTAAAAAAACATTTCATGAAGCAATGTAGTTTTTAGAAAAAAACTGAAGATATAACTTTATTATAGTTTATATTTATAAAAAAAAAAAAAAAATGAATTTTTTTCATTATAAATACAAATTGCACATACATTACAACACACTATTGCGAAAATATAAGTATTTCATAATAATATAGTATAACTTACTAACTTACTATACTCTATACACGATATGAGTAGCGTCTAAGAAGAGATGGTTGGTAGGGAAATTAAACTACCCCTTCAGCTATTATCCCAGAGTAATTCCAGGAAAATGGATAAAGGACTTTTAGCTTTGTCAATAAATATTCAAAAATTTGTTATTCAACGGCTTTGAATGTTGAGCATAAGTACATGACGTTTTTGTATAATTTATTTGATTTGTTAACAAAAACTTATCAAAGTTTCCAATTTTTTTTTTTTTTTTGCTATTTTTTACATTTAGTCAATAAATAATATTTTGCTGTTGTATGGAAATATTACCTATTTATTTATTTATTACTCAGGTACACTATATTTATATAAATTAATATTATTTATAAATTAATTAATTAATAGTTATGTTTATATTGTATATTATATTTTTGTTTTTGTGACACATTAAAATCATTTGGTCCACTAAGGTGAACATTACAAATTATATTATTTTAACCACATAAATGTAGTATGCCTATATTATTTTTTAATTACGTGTAAAATTTTATTTTATAGGTATGTTCATTATACTAAGCATTATTGTTACCTGTCGGGATAACAATCAGTAGCGTGTTCGGGATTTCCAAGTGTAAAGTGTATCTATTTAGGTATTTATAATTTACAATAGCAACAAAAACAAAACGTAATAAATACATAATTTAATTTTTTTTCTTTTAAATAAAAGCCAATTTTTTAGGCTTATGTATCGTGACTAGGATTCAAATTCTAAATATGTGTACACTGGTTTTTTGAATAAAAATTTCACAATACTTTATAAATGAATAAAAAAAGCAAGAAATAAACTATTTGTTAATACTCATATCGATTTCATTAAAAACGAATCTTCTTCGTATTTTAGACAATAACTACTCAGGTTTGATCTTTTTACATAGGTTTGATTATTATTCTCAATATCTTATCTTTAATAATGAAATATTATATTTTTTTGATTTCTCGCTGTTAAAGTATTGAATTTCGCGATTTTAATTTGTTTATTTTTAACAATTATGTATCTCATAGCATTATTATCTTCATTTAAAATTACGATTCATCGTCTGCTCCAAGAATCACAACGATTTTACAACGCTTTTGATTAACGTTGGTTAAGGCGACTGACCCAGTTTTATATCATAAAATCGTTTATAAAATTACGAAAATTATAATATTATATTCTCGTGGAAATATTTGACCTACAAACGTATTATGTTGATACTAGAATTACGATGTCGGTCTAATTTTTATTTAAACAGGATGTAAACCCCACGTAGGTACTAATATCACGTTTTCGACATAACATTCACATTAAGAAGTTGTTAATTCGAAGAATTAATATAACATGATACACATTAATGTTATTCTGATAAATATGTATCACGATTATTACGTATACGGTATAATATTAACATTCAAAACTGCACTCGACTGCAGCCTTATTCTGAGAATCAAAATGCTCGTATGTATGACATTTCTCGAGAAAACATAATGCAAATAGCAAGGTATTTGAATTGTATACGACGATCAAACAGAATGACAACTTTTCGCGGGTAACAACGCTCTAATTGTCTCGAGTCGAGAACATTATATTATTATAGTACGATATTAAAATCAGGACACCGAAGGAAAGATTAATTCACTGTTATCTATGCACAGCTGTGACATACGCTTAGCAGTGTTTGTACCCCTGCACAGAAGGATACACAGGTACTACATATATTATAATCGCGTCACTATTATTATTATTATTATTATCATTATCATTATTATTATATAAATATTTTGGCATGTGCAGCGTACGTTTAGGACCATAAACAGCTCAAAAACAGTCGTAGATATATCATATAATATACGACGATGTAACGTTGTTTGGACGCCACCTATGTCTACGTATAATACTAGTCACCCCCTATATTGCGGTAAGATAAAATGTGCGTACGTGTTAGCTAAACACTGCGCAAAGGCGTACATAATATTCAACCAATTATTAAATCTTAATTTTAATATGACTATTGTTTAAATTATACCGGAGTGATTTTTCGGGCACGACGACGACGCCGCCGCCAGAATCTTGACGATATATTTTATTTCCGCACAGCAATGAGGATTATACAATCCGTAACGGTGCACTTCGCGTGGGCGTGGAGTTTTACTGTCATCGGTAATATATATGTGCAATAATGACGGATGATGATCGGCCCCGGTACGAATACGTTCGTGTTAGGTATATATTTTATTTTTTCACTCGGAAAACACTGCGGCTTAATCAAAACCTATTCATTGCATTATTTATCTCCCTCTTGTAATCGTGCAAAACGGCACAGGGTACGTATTACGAGAAAAGCAAAATATGATCACCGCTGCTGTCGAAGATTAACAACAAGAGAATAAAAAACCATTATATACACAATATAACACGGTATCGCAATACGCTTATACCTATGCACATCCTATAATACATCCGTTCGAATACGATTTTTCTACGGTCGGGTCTGGCACACGCGCGTGGTGCCCAAGTAGGTAGTCCTTCACCGTCATTCCTTCGCTCCGACCGCGTCTCCGGCCTTTCCGCACTCCCGCGCCGTATCTCTCCCGATATAATATATTTACTAGTCGGCGTAATACGCGCACGGGTATACAGATATTATAAATATATACACATGTATTATTGCGATGCCACGAGAGAGTGTATATTATAATATTATATTATATACCCATCTACGACGTTTATATTGCCACGCATAAATCCAACAGTAACGCAATCAAGCGGGTCTACAGATGTATGTTATAGGAGATAGGTACCTGTGTGTAAAGTTCGGCCCACGATATCCCGAATATAAAAATAACAATAATATACACAGACAGTATGTCGTCTATTTATTTATATTTATTTGTTACTATTTTTCTTGTCCGGAAAATCGATGGGGACGGATAAAATATAACATTACAATATTTTACATCTATACGAGATGATCCATTTAACGTAAGACGTTTAATTTTACAGAAGATATCGGGGTTTTTTTTTTTAATATTTCTTTTACAATACGACATTTTTTTTTTTTTTTTTTTTTTGGAAAACGTGTTATTTTTTATTACATTTTATCGCCTGTAATTTTTTTTAAGTTTTTATTAATTTGATCGACATCGTACATTTTTATTTCATATGCCGTAGATATCGAAATATTATTTTGAGTGTTTCAATCAATAAAAATTTCATTATGGACATGTAGCAGTTTATTGGTTGTAACTAGGGTTCGGAAGTTATTGCATTGAAAATCATGAAAATATGCATGCAAAAATGCATTAAAATATCATCGAAATTGCACGAATATATGCACAAAAAAAGTTATATACACTGAAATATGCATTGAAATATGTAATTAATAATTATTAAGTTATTGTTTTTATTTTAAATACAATTTGATAAATAATTTATAAAAATTAATAATATAAGTACAATAAATTTTATAAATAGTAAAAATGCAACTAAAAATATGTATTTCTGTTTAAGTTTCAGTTTTCTTTAGTTTTCTTTTAATGGCTCTGAAAAAAATAAAAACAATTTTCTTTAAGTATCTATTTTTACTATTTATTTTGTGTATTATTTTACCTTGGAAATTGCATTGAACAATTAAAGATTTTTTAATGTTTTTGAATTTGAACGATTGTCGATTGCAAGTAAGTAAACTTTTGTATACTGAAAACGTACGTTCAACGTCGACTGATGTTATTGGGCAGTTTTTCATATACATGAAATCATTTAAACTCCAATCTTCGGGTATTCCATCTGTTTCTTCTTTTCCATTTAGTATCTCTGATATTTTTAAAACTGCTTGATAGCCTTTATTTTTTGATAAAACGGACTCAATCTTAATTTTAATTTTTTCCCCCATTTCTCCATTAATTTAAATTAATTTTTTTTTTTTGCTCCTTCGATAATAGAAATAGAATCTGCAAGTAGAATTTTTTGTTTTTCAGGTCTTGTAATTAAATCGGGTAAAAATCCGAAATTTGATTTAATAAATACAAGTTGAGCTTCAATATTTTAATCAGAAAGATACTTTTTTGAATTTTTTATTGATACTGTATTATTGTCATCAAAAGTATTAATGATTAATTTTATTTGCTCAAAATGTTCACAGTAGTAATTCGCTGCCTTTATCCAGGTACCCAATCTTGTCAAAATTGGTTCTGGTGGTAGTGATAGAAATGGGGCTATTAATTTAAAATATTGAATGGAAGAAATGCATTAGAAATGCATTACACAAGAAATGCTTTACGGAAAACTTTTTTTAAATTTCTTTTTTCAACTTTTGGATATCCTGTATGTACAGTTTCTGCGATCCTATGAAATGCATAGGCCAAACAAGTAATGTGTATAGTTTTTGAATAAAATAAATTAATGGCTTTTCTAGCTTTAACCATATAGGGGGTAACGTCACTAATAAACAATAATACATTATCGTGCTGGACACCTTTTGGCCAAAGTAAGTTCATTGATTTATCAAACAATTTACAAATTGTGGAATGATTGCATTTTTTCGAGCTCCTCAGAATGTAAAAGAAAAATCTAATCTCTGAGTCATTTAAAATTCCAATAACAACATTTGCTACATATCTACCTGTACAATCGGTAGTTTCATCTATTGACAACCAAATACATTTATTTTGAACATAATTCCTTATTTTTGAATTGTGTTTTCATAAATTTCATTATCATATCTTTTTCTTAACGTTGATTCAGAAGGAATATCTTTACCAATGTACATTGATAAAAATTCTTTAAATTACATATTTGATAATTTATTCAAAGGTAGGTATGTTAGCTAATATAAAAGCCTTACATAAATTGTGACTAATTATAGACTTTTTGTAGCGTCCGTTATAAATTTTTGTGTAAGTATTTTATTTGTACTTGGATGATTTTCAACGCGCTTAGCTGCCCACTTATGTTTTTCCGTTTTCAGATGTTGGGTGACAATAAACCTTTTATCCACGCTCACTTTCGTTTCATAAAAATAACAAAACAATACATTTTGGTCTGCTGAAAAAACATCTGATCCGAATTTTGTAATATATTTTTTAACTAAAACATTCGTTTTTTTCTTAGGCATATTTGTTACAAAATTAAATTAAATTAAAAATGTAATGAAATTTTCAACAAAAATAAAAATAAAATTTTACGATCACGCACACGAGACGGCAAGACACGAGACTAATATGTAGAATGTAGACGGTATAGCAATTAGAGTAACAAATAACAACGAGCTGTACAGGAAACTATTTAAAAAAAAAAAAACCAGAACGTTCTATTCAAATATCTTATCTTTATTTTACGTTAGACATCTCGACTTTATTTGACGTTTATCGATAATAATTAATTTCAATAGAGTACAAAAAAATAAAACAACATTAATAATTATTAACTTATTATAAGAAATATTCTACGTCGATGTTATATGCATTTATTGTGAAAAAATGCGTGTTTTCATTAAAAATTAGTTATAACTTATAACTAATAAATATTTAAAATTTAGATAACCAAAATAGTGGACTAACGTTTTGCGATAAATCCCTCTACCACTTCATTCTATATATCTAACCTTAAATAGTAAATACTTGTAACTATGGTTCAGAGTTATAAAATATTTCTATTGATTGTTTAAAAAAAAAAATAGTAAGATAAGACATAATTCAAATGTGAACCTTATGAGTTAGTAGGTAAAATTGTATTTTACATATTTTTACATATTCAGTATAATTTTAACTATCATGCATATTTTGACTTTAAAAAAAAAAATATAATGAATACATCAAAAAAAAAGTAGTGTTAAGTTAATATTATTATCTAACCAAAGGTTCATTTGAATAAAATGTATTTATTTTTTACTTGTAATTCAATTTATTGAAAATATTAAAAACAAATTTAAACAAAAAACTTGTGCAAAAAGTGTTGTAGTTTACAATAATTTAAATAAATCATTAAAAACAACTATGGATTTTGGCAATTATCAAATATATTTAACAATATAACTAGAAAAGAAAATAACGACTAACAAAATAATAGAAGACTCTCAAGCAATGATTTGGTATACTCGTACTTTAAATATGTCCCAATACCTTTTGTAGATATAAAAACAGTTTTTCTAATTTTAAAATATATTTAATGTAAACCTGCATTAAACTGTATAAATTATTCATAAAAAATCTACTATTACCTACATCAATTTATTTATTTTTTTACATTTTTTTTTTTTTTTTTATTGAGTTAACTATCGATGATAAAATGTGCCTGTTAACCCATTATAGTTTATTCAATTATTGGATCAATTATTTGCAGTAAATTATTGACTAAATATTATTAACACTTGTAAACTAAACTTGTTTCAAAAAAAATATCATTAAAATTTATGTATTTTGTGAATTACGTTATATTTTTTTTTACACAGTTTTAGTGCATAAATTATAACATTTATAACAAATAAGTGAATAAATGCATGCATATTTCAGATGTATTTAATGCATATAATTCCGGGACATATTTTAAATGGTTATTTATGAGTTTAAAACTCTTTAATAACTCGTCCAAATTTCCTACATGTTTATACATCGAAGTACTCAAAAAAAAATTTACCTTTGAAATAAAGAATTAAAAATAAATTAAAATAAGTAAACAGTTGATAAACGATAAAGTCAATATAAATATATTTATGAAATTTTTAAACACTTAAAATCATGTTTAAACATTTTTCAAAAACTTAAATATTTTTTTAAATAATAATTGTTTTACATTAAATGAGTATCATGCACGATTGCATACTATATATGCATTACGGCGTTTTTATCACCGTGTGACATACCACGACGACGAGAACAGCAACAACCATTGTATCATACCAGTCGTCAGAATGGTTTTTAGCGAATTCTTACTGCTTTTATGGTGCTTGAGTGGCACGTAAATTTTATAATATTTCGTGAGCATCAGACAACCCACCTTATAATAGTAATAAAAATAATAATAATAATGTACAGTGGTGGACACTGCATGTGCATCCAGAGATTTGAGTTTTATTGTCCTACGTCGCGGAGCACTAAATATAGAAGATAATACCGTCCTCCAAGGGTTTAATTATTCATAAAACCCATAAAAAAAATTAACAATGCATGTAATATGTAAAGCAATTAATATTATAACTATTATATATCATGAAGTATTCTATAATTATATTAATGATCGAAATTTTTAATTTAAATAACGCATCCCCTAAAATGATTTCTAATTATGTTTCATTTGCATTTAAAACTATTATACGCAATAATAAACTCGGGACAATATTATCGGTAGATAAAATATTTCGTTAAGCATTATACTATTTAAAGAGGTTTTTGATTGACATTTCCAACAAAAATTAAGTTTCCACAATCTAGTTTAATGGATCATATTTTAAGTCGGTTTCCAAACCAAACACAAAATGTCATGTTTAAACTTAACTCAAGCGTCAGACGAAAAATGCATATATAATTTTAAAGTAACTACAAATTAATATTGCATAAGCTATGGTAAAATAAATGTTTAACTTTTCCGAGCATAATAACTAAATACAAAAAGTAAATTAATATTTCGCAAAACTAGATATTAAAATATATTATTAAAAGCTACAAACTATGGTACTCTACTTCTATAATATCCGAACAACTAATCAAAGTAAAAAAAAAAAATAAATAAATAAATAAAATTATAAATACGAAAATACGAATAAAAGCTGCTAAATATATAACCACTAATAGGTAACAGGTACAGCCGGTGTACGGTGAAGGTAAATAATATTCACTATACCTACATTGACTAAAACTATTTAAAATGATTTATTAATATCGTTAATAAATATATCGATCATTTATCGATAATATGATAATTAATGTACATCATTTTATTTGGAACGGATATTAAACTAGATAACTTCTCCTAATTTTACTGTTAGGAAGAGGATATAATGTTTCTGACATTGTCAAGAATAAGCGGTAATTATTTTTAATTTATTAGAATGTAATTTATACAGTGTTATGTAATGCTATTCCATGAATCAATTTATAAAATAATTCAAAATAATCTCATATTAAATTGATACATTATGCACATTAATATAAATAGATTTAGATAATACAGTTGACAGATGTATCATATGTTCCTTGTAATTATATTATTACATCCTTCTGCCATTCTAAGTAATGGTGTTCATTAGGAGGATGGTTTATATTTATTTAGATAACTTTCTTTCGTTGTATATAAATTAAAATACTTAAATCAATAAATCTATCTTATTCCGTGTTCCCCACACCGGTTGTATTTTTATAGTGTTTAATATAAATTTAATGTGATGGTTTCATAAACAAATAAAAATCTATTTATAAGTAGGTATAGGATCTAATAAAAATACCGGCAGGTATCAAAAATCGGTATAATTTTAATAACATAACACATATGTCTTATTAGGGCTTTAAAACGATATATTTGACAAAAAAAAGATTGAAATTTGTAAACTTAATAATAACGGAAAACGATAAACATAAATAATTAAGTAACACAGAACAAAACATAACAATTAACAAAATACATCATCAAACAAAACTTAACGAAAAACGTTATATACATAGTATATCATTAAACGAAATAATTAATCTACAATTATTTAATGGTTATAATTTATAAGATATATTAAAAATTTTAATTCTGAATAATGATAAACGCAAAAGTTGAATAACGTTTTAATTGTAAATAACGTATAAACAATTGTTTTTTCAAAATCAAGCCTTGTGTCTAATAGTTATAACTGTTTCTGAATTCCGTATAGTATATAACCGCTGAGCTAACGTAGCCCGTACTAAATATATA